CTCTGTCATCATTTTAAGTGGGGGAACTTGCACAATCGGTGGCTGACTAAATACTATTTGCCCCACTGTACGTAGCTGTATTCTTGGGTATTGTTGAAATGATAAGTGCCTTTACATCTTGATGGATGTTGTTCTAACCCTATTGTGTCTTTTTTCCTTTGCAGGAAGGAGACATGTGGTCATCAGTTAACTGTACTCTCTGTACTTGCGTTAAAGGCAGCATTGAGTGTCAGCCCAAACAGTGTGTACCAATCACCAGCTGCCCCTCGGTGAGTGACACCAGCTGATCAATGGATTACATTTATTTATAGCAGTGTGTTGTGTGCTGTGCTGTGTATTTGTCTTTTTAATTTCTTGGACTATAATGTTTGCAAAAAACACTGCAATCTCTAGTGAAGGCTGAGAGCAGTCAGTCATCCAAAGGTGATGGGGTGGGTGGAGATGAGCGTCAAGGGGAGATTTATAAGAAGGTAGTGAGACTGCCTACGATGTAGGTTTGGTGGCACAAACAAAAAGACATCATACCCCTGGTGGTTTAACCTACAACAACCCTGTCTTTGTCACTCCACTTTATCTGCTTTCCTTTTCTCCATCTGACCTGTCTCACACTCATACTTTACAGCCCATGACTAACTTCGTGATTCTCATTTCACATGCGTAACGCCTCAAAATGACAATACTGTCAAGATTTATCGGCAGTGCTGCCATAACCGACTCTCAATTTCAACAGGTTCACCTAAAAATGAAGGTGTAGAGTATCAGCTTGAATCAAAACATTGAACATGTCATGTAAAAATGTATCCTCTTTTTTACATGACATATGCAAGAAATAAGAAAAATAACTATAAGGGTATATCAAAGAGTAACACAGCCTGTTACATAAAGAGGTCTCACTTAGTGCTCTGTAACACAGCTGAAATGCGGCATTAGCTGGGAACTCGGGGAACTGCTGGCAAGAGAAGGGTCTATGGTGCGTTCACCTGTTGCAGAGGTCGCTTTGAGGTTATCTGTCGTGCGTTTCGTGATGGAGTGGATTCCTGGCATGCCGGTGGCCGTCACGCAGTCAAAGCCGGTGTCAATGTTGGTCTAAGTTCACACGCTTCCAGTGGTTACAACGAGCCCTCACCTGTTGTTTGCGGTCAGAACAGGCACAGGGCCGTTGGTGGTCCACATTCAGTTTAGTCTCCAGAGAAAAAGCAGTTTTATAAGTCACTTTAAATGTGGAAGAGGGCAAATAGTTTTTTAAGGACTGTATCTTCAATGTTGAAAAAGTGCAGTGAATACAGAAGCCATTCTTTTTAGTGGCCTGCAGGGGGCGACTTTCCTGGTTGCTAAAAAAAGCCAGATTGTTGAAATGTTTGTAAGAAAATAACCCTCCTGCTTCCTTAAACTGTGATCCTAGAAAACACTTTTCTGATTCCTGTATGGTCTCAGTCACAAGTTTCTAGTCTTACTGATTGCAAAATGATGTAGATGTTTTGATGACATACTCATCAAAAAGGGAGAAAAAAAGAAACCACAGAGGGAGATTGGCAAGTTGCTGCCATACGGGTGTGTATTATATTTCTGTTTCCATCGCTGGCGTCAGACAGGTGTTTTACAGCGTTTTTTTAAAAACATCTGTAACTCCTGTAACTCCTTAACCTCATGCTCAATTGAAAGAATTCCAAAACTTCCTGAAAGCACAGACTCTGCGATTTTTCTCAAGTACTGCCCCGCAAAGATGAAGGTTGGTTGAGAGAAGAGAGAGTGAGGGAAAAAAGAGAAAGAGCTCAACAGAAAACAGACCTTTTTATCTGTTTTCTTTTGATCTTTTGGGGTTCTTTTTTGTTGTTTTCTTCTTCTTTTTCCTGTTTTCTGTGTTATTTGCCAAGTACTGAATGTGGGCCTTGCTTGGGATTACTGTAATGACCTTTATATCACTGAAAAGAACAGTTTCTACTTTCAGAAACCACTGAAATTTTGTGATTGCACAAATGGTGTAAGAGTTATGGTAGTTTGACCTAAAAGTTTAACCTAAAACCTATGGGAGAACAGATGCTCCAGTTGGTTTTAATTGGTTAAATCCGGCACTTTCCTAACTAGTAAGTGATTTCACAGTGGCCATCTTTTATATACAGTTACAGTCTCTATTCTTAACATATTAATGCACTTTTTAGAGCATTGACACAACATTGAGACAGTATGTGACATCATTTTTTGAGAGCTGTATAAGAAAAAACAACATGAAAGAAGTGACACAGGAAAAAGTTACCCAGATGCTTGTAGTTGTATGTAAAGGAATGCAAAAGGATGTAAACAGATTTTCAGTGGGGAATATATAGCACGATATCGGATAACACGTGTGTGCTGCATTGTGAGGTTGATATCAGTGAGTGAAATCGGACACTTCAGGACCAGTGGAGAGGTTACCGCTAAACCCTTGGGTTGACTTTTCTGCTCTTTACATAAAGTAAACATCATTTCTTGTAAAAAAATATGTTGATATTAAGCATAATTTGTGGATTTATTAAATTCTGATTGCAATAAAATTGTTGCAATGTTTCTCTTATGAAAATGTTTCTCTTATGAAAACAGAAAGTCAGGTTTGATTTGTAGGCAGGTGTTTTAAACAATCTGTCCCACAGTTAAATAACAATGAAAAATCTGACATTTGCACTATTCTTGATATGAAAAGATATTAGTAAATGTAATCTAGTGTGGTTTATCACTCTCACAGAGGTCATTACAGTCCACATCACCTTCAAAACGCACACACATACACTCACGCATACTCTTTCCCATGCCATCATCCTGCGGTCAGCAGCAGGTCGACAGAGCGTGTGGGTCCCATTTGGAGACAGTGTGTCTCCGAACAGCCTTTTGTCTGTGTGGCATTTGAGTGACAGCAAAGAAGAGGTTCCCTATATTTAGGCCCCTGAAAACCAATCTCTGACACTGTGTGTGCCTGAATGAGTGTGTGTGTGTGTGTGTGCTTGTTTGTGTCATCAGTCTGTCAAAAGGCAGCCCTCTTCAAAGAGAGAGAATGCCCTTTGTGCCGAGGTTAGGACTCTGGAGTCTGCATTGAGGGTACAGAGAACTTCTTTATGAGATGACAGATGAGTGGTGTGTGTGTGTGTGTGTTTGTGTATGTCTGGAAGACAGGGGAAAAAGACTGCGTATACGTTTATGTCTATTTGTGGGGACTGGTTCCAGTTTTAGACCTTGGGAGTAGAGTCATTTTTCAAAAGGGAGGGTATTTGGTTAGTCTAGACTCAAAGGGTGGTTAACAGGGGTAGGGGCTGGGGTTAAAACATTTAGTTAGGCTGGTTAAGGTAGTTTTAAGGGCATTGTATCAGCGAAGGTCCTCACAAAGATAGAATTACGTGTGTGTGTGTGTGCGTGTGTGTGCGCGCGTGTGTGTGTGATTAAAAAAGGGCTTCCCTGAGGCAAAAAAACTAGGTGTGTGAAAGAGCCCTGTGATCTGCACTTTTGATGGAAGTTGAAACATACAGCGAACGCACACGCACACACACACACACACACACACACACACAGAGGGTCCTGTTACACAGACAAAGTTCAGCGGTTGAAGTTGGAGTATGTGTGTCTCTGAAACCTTCCCGGTGTTGCTGTGAACTTGTCAAAACGTGAACTTTTCCTGTATCGCCATCTTTCATTTAACTTCTGTTACCTCTGCTTGAATGACAGCACAAAATTAGAACTGTTGATAATCTCTACCAACAAAAATGGGAAATATATATATCGTTTGACCACCAGTACTTGGTTCTCAACTGTGTGGAAACAAGACTTTAAATTAGAGGAAAAAGAACAAGTTAAAACATTATGAGAGATTATTAATAATAGTCATCATATTCTAAGTCATACATTATAATACTGTATTTTATGTGGCAGACCTACATTCAATAACAGGGTTCCATCAGGAATCAACTTTTGGGTTTGTGTAAAGTTTGGTCAGAAGGTTCCTTTGTAAGTGTGCATGCGCCATTAGCGTGCTGCCTGCTGTAACCTACAATTTCCTTCGGGATTAATAAAGTATTCTGATTCTGATTTATTTTACTGTTTTTATTTATTTTTATTTTACTTTGTTAGTTTTCTTGCATTTACAAAACTCTGATCTTCTTTTTCTCCCAAATACAGAAAACTAGGAATAATCTGACTTTAATCAGTAGAAGAAAGTTTAACAAGGGCAAAAAAGTGAATGGTTTTTAGAAACATTTATCAAAAGAGGCTTTTTTCCTGGACATTCTGATTCATGTACAGTTCAGTTGAAATTTGTAAACTGCAAAGCTAGTCAGAAGCATAACAGTTTTTTCTTATTGTAATTTTCTTTTAGGTTTTTATTCCATGTGTCTACGCTTTGCTCGTGACACTGCTCCACATTCTGTCAAAACAAGTTTCCTTTCCACATTCAGGCTTCTTGTCATCTTCCCTTAAGCTTATTCCTCTGTCACTTATCTAATCCAGTGTTTCTGTGTCTGTTCTCTTGCAGAATAAAATCCTGAACAGAACTGGCTGCTGCCCAGTTTGCACTGAAAGTGAGTAAGTCCTTCTCCACCCGTATCCTTCTCCCTCCACACAGTGATTTGTGGGATTCTCACTGCAGTGTCTTCTAATCTATATATCTAGGGAAGCCCTTTAATTTGAGCCCATCAAAGTCTTAAAATATCTCAAATATATTTATATATATATATTTTGTTTGTGGCTGCACAAGAATCAGAGTTATTGATACTGAATGTTTAGAAAGCTATTTATACGTCAGAACCTATGAATTGTTCTTTTTATGAGCAATAAAAAATAAAATCTCAGTCTGGCCTCTGCAGTTCACTTGAGTGTTCCCCGTGAACTTCAGTCCAGACTGTGGTTTACCCTTTGGGTGATTTTACTTTAGCTTTTGGCTTCAAACTGCAGCAAAAAATCCCCCAAAATGTTCTATTTCAGGACTACAAATACTCCATAAACCCCACTTGTATATAATATAGAGTTTAGATTTAGCTGGTCAGGCAGATGTATTACCACAGTGAGTCATATTAGTGCCACATATTTCAGCATTTATCGTAAATTATTTTTCCGCTGTTAGCTGTCAGATTTCAACATGTATCCTTTTTTATAAAGTGCTTAACTTTGGGTTGCCTCTTGCTGTTCCAAAGTTCATGTTTTAGGTCACTGAGGTTAAAAAAGGCATTTGCTTTCTTTGACTTCTTTCTATTTTTTTGTTTAAACATATCAAGAGCTTTCTTTTTCTTTGTCCTACTTTAGAGCCAGGCGTGTGTACAGTCTTTGGCGATCCTCACTACAACACCTTTGACGGCAGGACCTTTAACTTTCAGGGAACTTGTCAGTATGTTCTGACTCGTGATTGTGGTAGCATTCCCTCTGGAGGGCCTGGGAATAACATCAACCTCAACAGCCCAGACTCGAGCTTCACGGTAAAATGGAAGGGTATCACTTCATAATATAGCCCACAACTGAGGGCATACTTCCTCTGTAATTAAATGGAATTTGAGTGTATATACAGGAAACAAATAAATAATTATATTGTAAGTAAATTTAGATATTGGGTTGGTAATTTTAAGTAGTGTGCAATTTCATGGTAATGCCGGAGGAAAACAAACCATATTTCCCCATCTTATATCATAAGCATGCTGTAGTTTTCAGGCCGCAGGCCTTATTACAGAGCGTATTAATCTTTATTTTATATTTGTTATGTTGATGTGCATGCTGGATGTCCTGTTATTCAATTATTCGTTTATCTTACCAACTTACAACAAAAAACTAAATACAGTCAAAATGTTACAGTATAATGATGGAACTTTTTTGATGGTTTTCTTTCACCATCACTGGTCAAATATAATTTTCGAAAGGAGTGAAATACCTGAAAGTTAGGCCAGGTTAAGCTGTATTATAGTATGTTATTGATGGAATTTGGAATACACTAGGATTTGATCAAATGTGTACTCAGAATGGGATGAAAAAATTGGGAAACTGCTCATCTCTGCTGACTTTTTTCACACATTAGAAACCAAAAGAAGCTGAAATTTTATGAAGACATCAGGACTTCTGAGACCTCAATAGATCCTGAGTTGTCCTGTTTTATTGGCTTTTAATCTCATTGCTTTGATTTTAGGTGTTGGTGAAGAATCACGCCCGGAGGACTCGCTCCTTCTCCTGGACTCAGTCTGTCGAGGTGAGGCTGGGTAGTTTGATCCTCAGCCTGCACCAGCACTTAACTGTACGGAAGAATGGTACTCGCATCGCCCTGCCCTACCATGGTCCTGGGGTGCATGTAGACCTGGATGGATACCTGCTCAAACTCACCACCATTGCAGGTCAGTATACGTCTTTCTGATCCAAGTTTTTAAATCAGCAAATATTGACCTCTATCTGTGGTCTCAGCTGAAGGTGAATTAATCATTGGAGAGTTCTTGATAAAATATGGCATGGCTCAGTGAGTGGAGCCTGGTTTTCCGTGTATGATCGTCTATTTAACATTCTGTGTGGACCTTTCACCTGATTTGGTCTGACTGTACCTGTGTGTGGCCTTCTGTTAAGCGTCAGCAGAAGCGCAGGAGTCTTCTGCCCTCTCATGCCACTCAAATAAAATATGCAGAAAGGTTATTATGAATTTTTTGTCCAAAATTAAAGCAGCTTTAAGAATAACAGCACAAACTTTGCAGATGAAAGCCACATATCTGAAAAATTAGTTGATAATTTACAAGAGATGGTTACAAATAATTAAGATTTTGTTTCTAACCTCCACCTTTTTCTGCAGGTCTGGAGATCACATGGGATGGTGACAGTTTTGTGGAGGTTGTAGCTGCTCCTCATCTGCGTGGGCGCCTCTGCGGCCTTTGCGGCAACTATAATGGCCACAAGCGTGACGATACCATGGGCGGTGACGGGCAGTTCAAGTTTGACGTGGACGAGTTCGCAGAGTCGTGGAGGGTCGAGGGAAATGAGGTTTGCACCAAACATCACCCGCCTCGCAGGCCGACTTCATTCCTGTGCCCCGGCAGCGTTAAAGTCAAGTTCAGGGCTCACCGGGAGTGCCAGAAGATAAAATCGTGGCTTTTTAGTAAGTGCCACAGTGTGGTGGACTTCGGGTCTTTTTACAGGTGAGGAGAAATCTCAAGTGACAACTTAATTGTTAAAGTGCCAAACACTGTAGCTTGTCACACGTATCCATTTCTCTGTCCTACCATAACCATACTTGTACGAGGCTTTTGGTAAAATCTTTTTTCATTACAAGAACTTAATCTTAAACAAAACCAAATTCTGCCCTCTGTAGGTCGTGTGTGACGGACATGTGTGAGTGTCCGGTCCATAAAAACTGTTACTGCGAGACCTTCATCGCCTACAGCAGAGCCTGTGAGAGGGAAGGTGTGCCCGTCCTTTGGAAACCCGAAGCTGCTTGTATGGGTGAGTGGCAACACTCATAAATCGCAGAGCCTTCTGAGAGGTGCTCTTGACTATTGGAGCCAGTCTTATTTGGCTTTTTGTTTTTTGTTTAAAGAAAATTCTGCTCACTTCTGAGCAAACCTGACACTTACTGCAGCTGCCATTCCAGTTCATAGTACTCCCTTTTAGAGAAGTAGAAAAGGATTAACCTTGTGTATGCTTAAATTCCCTCTTTTGCATGATATTATCGTTCAACCTTGATAAAATGAACAGTATGCATTGGGTTTGGTATGAGTGCATGAGAAACAGCTAATTCCAATGAGAAGCTGCTGAGAATCTGCTCACATTGACATAATCAAGTCCTAACTTTCCCCCCCTTTCTACCTTTTCTTCCTCTCATCAGCCACCCAGTGTAAACACGACGCAGTGTACGACACCTGTGGTCCAGGCTGCACCAAAACCTGTGACAACTGGAATGAGATCGGACCGTGCCGTAAGCCCTGCGTGGCCGGCTGCCACTGCCCCGCCAACCTGGTGATGTTCCAGGGACGGTGCATCAAACCCACAGCATGCCCTGGACGGTGACCCCTATGAGCTGGGGGAAGGGGACTGAATTAGGGAGGGTCATCTGAACTAAAACTAAGGGTCCAAACTAGCAAAGAAGAGTTTGGGAAGACACTAAAGGGTCTCAAGTTGACAGATAAGATGCAACAAGGTACTCAGGGTCCATAACTTCACAAGGAAGTACGCTGTCGTGACTTAGATGCCAGCGATCCAACCAATGATGACGGACTGAAGGGAAACTCGGATGATGATCTGATCACGGAGCGTTCGATTTCTGACTTCCTCACGCCTCTTTGTCACACTGTTACTATACCAGTCGCCACCAATTACAGTTTTGGAGAATAAAAACTAAAATCTCAAGCGACAACTTAAGTGGCATTTGGAGATTTTACAACTCACGAATTTGAGGAACTTCAACATGTTGCCATGGACCCCCAGGGAATAGTCTGGGGCCAGCGGACTCCTCTTAGAGCCAACATGGCGACTGAGTTTCTCTCGCAAACACATTAAAGTGAACAACAGAGCATCTGCATTTGGAATAGTGAGATTCAAAGTCAGAGAAACTCGGATTCATCATATCAAAACTGAACTTATCATCTCTATTCCATCATTTCATACTGTAAGCTAGCCAGATTTATATGAAAGACGGACAAGCTTTTATATAATTATTGTTCTAATTATTAATATTATTGTTATTATTTGTTGTTGATGTTAATTTATATATCAGTCAAATGAAATGTCGTAGCAAGAGCCAGAATCATGAATATAATTGTGTTATAAATGATTTAAAGGGAAACAAAAGCTATTTATGTATTTGTTGTGTATTTTTTGTTACTGTTTGAAGAGAAATGCCCAAATGTGACTCAGCTGTTGCACCATCGCAGGGATTAAGTACTGTATTGTATTATGCTCAGTGTACAGGTTGTAGTGGTTAGTAAACTGAAGGTGTTCGTGTAAGCATATGTTTCACTTGACGATAATTATTTAAGACCAGCAATATAATCTTTTCTCGAAGTTCATTTTCGACTGTCGTCCTTCCTCTATGTAGTGCTGGAGAAAAATCGAGATTACGGCTGCTAGTTCAAATCCCAAAAGAAGCCAGTGTTGGAAAAACTGAAGTAAAGCTGATTTCATACTTGGATGTTTATCTGTGGCTCCTTAGATTTATCTCCACTAAAGATAAAAGACACGAATCTTGAAAAAAAAAAAGATGCAAAACTATTTTAAATACATTTGCACAGCTTTAATACACTTCAAATTTATACAAACATATTTCACATGAACACATCTCTAAAATAAAACATAAGGACTAAAAGCACCAAATACATTGGAGTTCATTCAACAGCAAACTGAGTCTCCATGGTTGTACAGGTTTTAGGGGATTCGACGTGTGTCCACCTGTTTCAGTGGTTTCACTCACTTTGACAATTCGCCACCCTCTTTCACTTCAAGCAATGTTCAAAAGCAGAAAAAAAATGACTGCAGTCTGGCCCGGGTGGAGAAACAAAACACTGACACATGGAAGATAGTGAATTTTCCCCCTGTTCAAGAAGAAATACTTACATTTCACCTGCTACTGTAACTCTTCCTAGTACTGCACAGTATGACAGTCTTATAACTCACAATCATGTCTGCTTTGTTATGTGAGTTAATGAAGAAAAGACTAGCTTCTGTTTAGAACACTGCCCTTAAAATGAACGTAGCTATGAGTCGATGTCAAACATCAAAATGTTGATGCTGCACATCCACTCATAAAATCTCTCATTTCAGGAGTATAGGATAGCAGAAAACTAGAGCAAATTTACCCTTTTTGGTAGCTGACACATCTTTTTGAATAAATGATGCAAGTACTGGGATGCCAGTCACACGTGTTTTCAACTCCTTGCTGATGTTTTCAGTTTGCAAGCCTTGTAATGCTGAGGTTGTATATGGGATAGTGCTATGCTGGGAATTACATGAGGTCAGTTGTTTCAAAGTTTGTTCAACATTAAAAGGTGCAAAATGTGAGTGTGGTGGCTGGAGTGGATGGAGCATGGTCCATCCACTCCCACACAGTCCTGAGAAGAGGCTTAACAGCATCTGTATGTGTCTGCATGGGATTCAGAAAATACACTAAGTCATTCTGTAGTTGTTCCTTATGTTAAATGTGGTTTTTAAGTAAATGAAAGTTCAGTTTTAAGCCGTCTGTACAGAGTGATGTGTATGTAAGGGGCAGCTGGATTATTTGAATACACTTGTTTCTTCCTCTGCAAATGAATGCAGTCACACAAAAAGCTTTTGAAAAAGTAGCATGTCAGAACCTCGGTCCCGAACCACAGTATGGTATATGGGCCACACACATTACTGTGGTTGCAAGCATTAAACAGAAGAAAATAGGCTTAAAAATAGAAAATAGACCTAAAAAGACGCTTTGGGTCACATAAAGCGGGTTTCTGCAGACAGCTGTATTGATTAAAATAGACCCTTACAATCTCAAATTTCACACTAATTATAATAAAGTACATCTAATGTTAATCTTAGAGTAACTATTTAATTATTTTTATGGAAATTTTCTTTAAATATGACCCAAAACTTGTTACCAATTTCAAAAATGACAATCATCTGGAGTTTCATCCTAAGATTTTGCATTCGTCAAAATTTCTTTAACAACAAATACTGTGACCTTTAAGTCTAATCATTCTGTAATAAAACTCCTCGGTTTTCTCTACACTGTGGCTTGTTATACTGCATTCATAACCACAAACAGTATCTTCACAGTCTCTAGCAGAAATTGGAAGAAAATCACTGATACAAATCACAATTACACATAAACTACTGAAAAAAATTAAAAGTACAATTACACACTGGTGTCGTTAAGTGATTTTCACACATTTAGGACACAGCAAGAGATCTGTTTGTGTTCTAACTACTGGAAACACTATGTTTAGTTTATACAATGGGTGGCACCTGTTCAGGGGGTGCAGGAAGCATGATAGAAAATTAATATTACCAGCTCTATGCACACACAACCACAGTGCAACAGGGATCTGACCAGTTAAAGTCTGTTTAACTTGTGGTTTGACCGACTGAGAGATTTTCATTGTCACATACAACCACTGCAGGCGATGCCTGGAAACATTTCAGAGCTGCAGTCAATGCATGGAAAAGGCGTTACACTGCGAACATTCCTGTACATCTTGCACATGACGAGGGGCATTTCAACTCTTTGGCATTTTCAGAAAATGACACATTCACTTATTTTTTTCCAAGCTAGAATGCTTTAAGGCGTGGAATGGTACAATGGTATAGGTTTTATATGAAAATACTGGAGCAAAAAAATAAAATGTTCTCTGTTTGCAAATGATACATAGCTGATACAACAAACTTGAAAGTGATGATTAATACATTGCATGCTTCTGGGGCAAATTAGTTTCCCCCTTTAAGCGAGTTTAATTTGGTTCTTTGATTTTTTTTCAGTATTTTAATCTTGACAGAAATTTTGTAGAAGCCAACCCCGATGCACCCGTCTCCTTTCAAATATGATTAACTTGTCAGTTATGGCCTCACAGACCGACTGGAGGATTAAAGTCTGCATTTTCCTCTGACCATCAGGAAAAAAAGCAAACACGTGTGTTTGTAACTACGGTTTCATATAAATAAGCTTAGAAAAATAAAAGGTTGTGTGTCTGGCACCACAGAGTAGACAGTGGAAGTAAAACGCAGCTGGTGAGGAAAGTTGAGCAGCTAATTAGTTTGACATTTTTTGGGGGGTGGCAGTTGAAATCAAGAGAGAGCTACAACACTAGACTTACATTCTATAGCTTACTTACATGTTATTCATACCAGCAATCTGAGTTTCTGCTCGTTGTTGACTCTTTTCTGCCCCCTTGTGGACATAAAACAAACTAATTGGAGCTTTAAAAACAACAAGCAGCATGTTGCCCTGTTAATTTTCCATGAGCGTAGATAAGCAAACCACAATCTCAACCTGCTAAAAGGTGACATCTAGTGAGTGTAGTGTTGCTACTTAAAAAAATGACCAGCAAACAGCAAACTAAAGTTAGCATCAGCAACTGATACCGATTCTGCATCATACCTGCGGCATTTGTTTTCTTTGCTTTGTTGCTATTTGCAGATCATCTGTGCAATTCTGCTATTTTTGTACTCTTAGCAAAATGAAAACAAAAAACAAATATTACAGCGATGATCGTACAGCTACAGAAAATCTTGCTTGCCAAACCATAAACAAAACTGAAAGAAAAAAAAAAAATTAATGATACAAGTAAATAAAACTAGCTGCTCTAAGTACAGAAAATATGTATGTGCACTCTAATATATAATCTTCCAAACCTCTGAAGAATTTTTCTCTTTGTCTCCAGTTTCGCTATACAAAACAAGATATACATCTAATAAAAAATACACTCTTAAGTTCCAGGCTGGCCAGCTTTCAGGATATACTAAAGCAAATTAAAAAAAATATATGTAGTCAAACCAACCTACACAGCTGGGGTCAGCTATCACAGCAAAGAAACAAGTCAACCAGGCAGAAAGGAGGAGGAGTGTGGACAGAGAGACTGACCAGCGGAGCTCAGTCGTCATCGCTGTCACTGCCTGACTCGCTGAGCTGAAGGTCATTTCCTGTGGGGAGCAGAAGATAAATGACCATAATACCAAAAAGGCAGTGTGGTAGCACAGAGTCACTGGCAGTGAATGAGCAAGATTAGCAGCAGCACAGAAAACGAATGCACGCATGCATAAATTCCATCTCTTGACCTGACCAAGTCTAAGTATGACCCAAAGGTACTCACGGAGTGTGTTCATGAGCTGGTTGTTCCCCTGCTGCCTGTCAGGTCCTCCGTTGGCCATGGGGTGGCGGCTGGGTGACGTCTGGCTGAGGGGTCGGGGGGTCTCGAGCTCTCCGTCGCTGCTGCTGCTGTCATCGCCGCTCCCTGAGGCGCTGCCCGAGTCGGAGGAGCTGCTGCTGCCGCTGCTGCTCATCTGCTCTATCACCTCCACCTCTGCTCGCAGCTCTGTTAAGAACAGCAGAGAATCACTACAGTTAACACAAAGACATTCAGCATTTACTGAAAAATTGTTTATAACAAACTGTAATGTCCTTATATTTATTTAGAACTATGTGATACTTAAGTGTGTCACGTAGCATATGTTTAATATAGAATATGTTATTTGTGATGTTAGTCATAAACTATAGTTATGCCAGGAAAACCATCTCTTCTATTATGAGCTGTGGCCGTGTATCACCTTCCTTACCTCTCTTGATGTCATCGAGCTGAGGCTCTGGGGAGGGGTTGTCCTTAGATGGGGAAGGAGAGGTTTTGATCCCAGCCCCGGGTTTAGTGGGGGCCCTAAACTGAGAGGTGGGCTGGCTGGACCGAAGTGACTGCTGCTCAATCCGGGCCTGGATCTTACTGCTGCCCTCTGCCCTGTAAAACACACACACAACAGATGGGATTTCACCTGGATTTATTTAAGAGTAACGTAGAAGCCAGTCTGAACTTCCCACTTCAATAACCTTAATTTTGTAATCACTGATATCTCACCTAGTTTTCTTGACCTGGATGCTGCTGCTCAGTTTCTCCAGTACAAACTCCCCAGTGTCGTGGTTAATGATGAGCACACAGTCCTTCTGGTATGGCCGCTTGTTTCCTTTGAATACTGTCATGGGAGGGGTAGAGCCCTGAAAGGAGAAAAAGAAAATGTAAGAATTAAATATGGACAGTCTTGGCTAATTTTGCCAGACCCTATTACATTAAAACAGTGGAAGAAGGTATCATTATACGGTGCTTATTCCTGGTGTGACTGACTCACTGACTTCAGTTTGAATTGCTTTGATTGTACAAAGTCTGTTTTTACCCTAGATACTGGATTTCTAAATGTGCAAACATAAATACAAATGTAGTATCTAAGGTAAAAACAGACTTTGTACAATCAAACAAGCTTGAAAAATCAGTATTTGGTATGACCACTGTTATTCCTCAACACAGCCGGAACTCGCTTAAGTAAGCTTTCTTGTAATTTCTTCAAGTGGCCTCCAGGAATAGTTCTCCATGCTTCCTGAAGGACATTCAAAGCTCTTTTTGGATGTTGGCTGCCTTTTGTTTTGTTCTGTCAAAATAATCTCACACTGCTTCAATAACGTTGAGGTCCAGGTCATTCCACAACTTGTTCTTAAGGACATGACTTTCAGATTTTGTTCATCTGATGTAGATTGTAGTTTTTTGGGGTTTTATTAGGCCTACCACTTATTCTTTTATCGTCTAAATGTTCACTTTTCAACCAATTTGTCTAAGGACTCCCTGCAAACCAAGCTGAGATATGCCAAGTATACACCTAATAGCTATTTGGGAATCACCTGATTGGTGCAAATGTTATGGTATTTTATGCCAGGCAATCTGTTATAAATTGACTGGCATAAAATACTAGCAATGCTAGAAACAAATTGCCTCTGGAAATGGTCAGATACAAGGACTGGACAGAAAGGAGCAAAAAATGCAGCCAGTATTTAAAAAAAACAAAAAACAAGCAAAAGAACAATCAAAAAGACCTTGACAAAACCTGGAAAAGTATTGCTCAAACCAACTTAAAAAAACTACAAGAAAGTCTCACAGCTTGGAAGCAAAAGGAAATGAAAAGGTGTTTATAAACTTTTGCACAGTACAGACTGTGAACAGATATTCATCTGACATGCAAGTGCCACACTTCCTGGTAGTACCAATTCAGTCAGTATTTAAGGGTGATGAATTTGATGCTAGAAGAATGGAAATTGTTTTATTATTTGCTTAATTTACAGAAAGAAGTGCACATCATGCAGTCTTACTGGAATATGAGGTAGTGTTATGGTAACTTCATCTCCTTTCCCAACTTGAAGCTCTCCCTCACAGCTTGTGTCAATCGATGCTGGTTTGAAGTCATCTGAAAAGGAGATGCAACAGATAATTTAATCAGATGCTTTAGGAGACATTGTATGTAGGTAATTCCAAATACATAGACATTTTATTAGGTCTCTTAAACAAATATTGAAAAATTATGAGCCGACGAACCCAGATTTAAAACCTGAGAATGGGGAGTAAAACGATAAGATTCATTGTGTATAATGCTGCCACACCATTTGCAACAAATACTTACTTATATTGTTTTCTCCATATAATTACCCATACACAGACTGTGTAAGACACAGCCTCTCCGTCCATGTGAGAAAGAGAGTCTGACACAACAGTAATCTAACAGTGCGCTTTGTATGGTGCCAAAGTTTTATTTAACACATCGCGCAGTCTGTCACACTTACATCTGATGGTGTGAAAGGAAGACTTTGGCCTCTTCTCAAAGCTTTCTCCGAGCTTCAAAACATGCTCCTCTTTGTCCAGCAGCGGATTCGTGCTCCCGTTCATGGCTCCGTTGGTTTAATAGTTACTAAAACTCGCATTTAGGTCAAATCCCACGAAGAGCCGAGAGCAATCTGGCAAGTTGAGCAGGATCAAAATAAGATGCCAACTACAACACAAAGTTAGCTTGCTGTGGCTAACAGTTAGCAAAACATCACGTGGCCACGCCTTTTCCGGTTTTGGTCCGGCTCTCAAATATCGCCGAAAGCGGGCTGTGTTAGCAACTTAGCCTGTTTTCATTAAAGTAAAAGATTTTTCAAAAAAACAAACAAAGCATTTCACTACTTAATAACCTATGAAAACGTTTTTAGTGCTTTATTTAGTCAGTAACGAGTAATTATAGAAAACGCGCCACTCGATGAGAAACGGAATTAAGTAGTAAAGACTACACGACATCATTTAGTTAACGGACAACATGGATGCATTAAATGTGGAAAAAGTACGGCTACCCTCAAATTTGTTTTAAAATAAAAGTTTAAATCAGTTAATTGGGATTAGCATGTTTGAAAAGTCTATTTTTCATAAACGAGTATAAACAGAACGTGGAGACACTTTGTGGCAGTTTATCATGGCATTGTCAGAAAGTGGGGTTTTGAGTGGTGCTATTAACTGTACACATCCTGGAAAAGAAGAGGAGTCGAAAGACCAAGCGAACACCCCCACTGCCAGGGTTTTAACTCTGGAGGAGCAGGAAAGACTGAACGGTGAGCGGGCTCTGGTGTCTGACTTCAAACTGATGAAGTTGGAGAAAGAAGCGCAGAAAAACTGGGACTTGTTTTACAAAAGAAACACAACTAATTTCTTCAAGGATAGACACTGGACCACCAGGGAATTTGAAGAGCTCAAGGCATGCCGAGAGGTGAGGAAATATTTACAACAGACGACACCAGAGGAGATTCTTTTACAGGATATTAAACATAACATCTGTATGTTTTGAAATATTTGAGTTGTATGACTGACATGCATGTGGTATTGTGTGAAATAGATAAAAAATGTACTGATTTTAATGTGTACAATGGACACCCTAAAGGAAAATTGAGGCTTCACAGGACATGACTTGACATTATCAGCTGTGTAGTTTCTGATTTTACTTAATTACCACCTAATAAAGTAAATGCTTTTCTCTAGAGCTGATATTTAGAGGTCAGTTAAAACACAAAGCTTGCAACTTTAAACAGTAATTTAGCATAAAGGATATTGTAAAAGTTTTTAAGTGAGTTTTTTCACTATTAAAAATTATTGAGCTGAGTTGAGAGACATGAGTAGACTAATACCTTGTGTTTGTGGCTATTTTTAATTTATCTTTGTCCCATCTGGCTTGCAGTTTGAGTCCCAGAAGTTGGTGCTGCTGGAGGCAGGCTGTGGTGTTGGAAACTGCATCTTCCCTCTGCTCGAGGATGACCTCAACATCTTTGTTTATGCCTGTGACTTCTCACCACGAGCTGTTGAATTTGTCAGAGTAAGCTCTATTAGTGAAGCTGTAATACTACTTTACATTCAATGGATTCAGACATTTTAACCTGAGAATCTTGGAATCAACAAAAAGAGAAAAAAAACCCACTGAATTTTGTAAATAACATTCTTTCCTTTTTTTTCTTTGTGTTAACAGCAAAACCCTCTGTACTGCCCCGACCGCTGTTGTGCCTTCCAGTGTGATTTAACTAAAGATGACCTGATGGAAAATGTGCCAGAAAGCAGCGTGGATGTCATCACACTCATCTTTGTCCTGTCAGCTGTCCATCCTGACAAAATGAAGCTGGTTTTGGAGAACATTAGCAGGGTGAGAGCAGAGATGACGTGTGGATAGATTTAGTAAAGTTTAAATGAAATGATAGGTGGGAGAGTTCTCTCCTACTGGAACTACACAAGCACTTGCTTTCTGTACTCATGTATGTAGATAAATGTAGATAAAACTAAATGTTTGATTGAAAGAAGCCTTTAATCTGATGATGTATTTGTTGGTTAATTTCTAGATATGCTTTTAATGTGCCACATTAGTCAGATTGAAATAATTTAATGGGATTTGCATGTGATCTTAAGGTGCTGAAGCCTGGGGGATTTATCCTCTTCAGGGATTACGGACTTTATGACCATGCCATGCTCCGATTTAAACCCGTAAATAAGCTGGGAGAGAACTTCTATGTACGGCAAGATGGAACTAGGTCCTACTTTTTCTCTAAAGGTCAGTAGTTTATTTTAAGGAAGTTATTTTTTGTTGATACTAACTTAGCTTATCTGTATAATTAGATAGATATATATTACCGGTTTAGAAGTGTGTGAATTGAGGCTTCACACCTTTTATTTCAGAATATCAGCACATTTATATGCAAGAACATTGACCTCTCCTTCCTTGGTCACTCATTGTTGAGATAACATTTTCAAGTAGAGAAGGCTCAATTTATGCATTTCATCTTTTTATGACACATCAGAAAATCTCTAAACCTTTTTTTTTTTTTTTTTTTTTTTTTAAATAACTGCCCTCAGAGTTCCTGGCTGAGCTGTTTGAGAAGACGGGCTTCAAGTGTGTTTCTAATGACTATGTTCTTAGAGAGACTGTCAACAAGAAGGAGGGACTTTGTGTACCCAGAGTGTTCCTGCAGAGCAAATTTATGAAACCAGAGAGCTGAACTTTGCGTTTGTCGTCTCACAGATCTACAGAGGTTTGGCAAAACATAGCACTGAAATGTTAGATAAAAACTGGACAGTAAAAGGTGAGGGAAATATGTGCCAAAACTTTACCAGAATGGGCCATTAAGGTAATTTAGCAGTATGTACTCCTGCTATCTGCTGACCAAACCACCTGAGGAAGGCTCTCAGAAAAGCTCTGCTGCCAACATCTAAAGGGATTTGATTAGATTTTTTTCAGAGGAAAGAAAAGGCATTAAACATGGTTGTTTAAGCGTGAACAGTTTGAAGTCACTTTTCTTTTTTTAAACGTTCACAGTTTGTGATACTGTTCTGAGAAACACTTTAAATATAAACCAGTAATAGGATTGCTAATAGAATTATGACTTTCTTGCCCTTCATTCCCCTAATATTGAGTTCAAGTCATCATTTAAAAATTTATTTTTTTTAAATAAATGTATTTTATTATTTTCCCACATATACTGTGAGACGACATGGTAATCTGTGTTTTATAATTTCCCACTTTTTTATGTGAAATTTTAAAGTCTCTCATTCTGTTTGAGGTTCACATTTTATGGGCCATGAATCCCTGTGGTGGATGTATGGATATTTCCACGTTTAAGAATAAACATGCTAAATTTTGAGCCTTTTTTTTTTTAAACTATCTTAACTATCTCTCCTTCAGACGATTAAATGAAAATGTCTTCCCTGGCAGATGTCACTGAATGTTCATTGAATAGAAACAGAGAAGAAACCTTTAAGGCTGCTAGGATGACAAAATCTAAGACATCCACATTGCCCAAAGCATAAATACAAAATAGATAATTAAATTATCTATGAATTATAAATTATTATTCTGTAATGTTTTTTCAACTTGTAGATTAAGACATTTCAGTCTATATGAAAAACTAGATGAGCAAGTGTGTGAACAACCTTTGAATCTAAATATTTATTGTGAAGACATTTTATTTCCTCCTTTGATTTCTGAGTAGCAATCAATTCAAAGACTAACAGTAACACAGGCTACTAAAAATGCATAAATTAAAAATCTATTTAATGGAGAAAACACAATAACAAAAAATTAATGACAGGAAAATTATTTTATTTTATTTTTTCTTCCTTGTACCCATTTGGAGGACTCCATATTAAACAATTTAGTTGATTAAATTTAGTTTAGCACAAAGCTATCAAGGTTCTCAACTGTGACACACAAAGGCCTAAAAGAGAACTGCCCTTACTACAATACCATAAGCTGCTCCCAAGATCAACATGTTTGCCGTTGTTTCGATTTAACAACAAATATAAGAGCTTTTATATGTGAATGCAGTTTAGTTAAGTTTTGCATTCATGTATGTTTGCCTTCATTGTACAGTACATTCTGCTAAAAAAGACCACTGTGGTGAATCGGTTTGGGGCCTGTCAGGCTACTTGCAACATGCACTAAATGTGGCTTCCTGTTCAGCAGCTGTGTCGCCCACTGACTTTCCCAGTTTAGAACACATTAAAGATTTGTTGTGCCTCTCAAAACAGAAATGTAATTTGGTGTTTGACACAGTGCAATTTATTGGCATCACAGTGTTTCATGTCACAGATATGAAATTACCATTTTCAGATTTTATATGTTATCCAGTGGTGAAAAGTCAAAGATTTTGGGCGTCTTTAGAAATCACATTGAGTATCAAAATTGCATGAATCCCAGTAAAATTTAATGTAGTCAAATAAAATAAACCAAAATGACAATTATTTGAGTGAATGGGATGTGGGTAAAGATTAAAATAATAAATATTTATATTAAAACACAATTCAATCTTGTAATATATTGAGCTAGTAAAGTGGGCTATATTGTTTAAACAGTTCATGTATGTTTTTAAACATGAACAAATATTCATTTTCATGACAGTAATTTCATAATTTGCTAATTAGTAAAGCTGGACTAGTACTAGATTACGATCATGAAGATTGTGTCATTAATTAAACAACACAATGTAATATTCTGAAAACGTTTTCTGTGGTTCTGGAAGAAAAGATGTGGTTACCAAAAATGTAACGAAATTAAATTTTGTTTCATTCCTGAGAAATTGCCATTTGCTTCAGTTCTATGTAACAATTTTTTTCATGACTTAACTGCTCAGTTACCCTTAAAAATGTTGAAAATTGTGATTAGTGAGATCCGGTGATATGTTAAGCGAGGTGCCCTATTTAATCTGACCATGCATGCTGCTTTAAGACTGACTTCAAAGCAGTACAGTGCAGTTGATACAGTTTCCTGTCCCGTGGTTTGGCTTCTTCGAGCTTTCTACTAGTAAAGCGAGAAATGAAAGTGCCAAGACAGTTAAAGATGCTTGTACCTGCACGTTTACTCGTGATCTATGCTAAAAGCAGCACAAGTTCATTCTTGGTTGTTATGTTTTGTTTTGTTTTACAATCATTAAATAAAATATGATGAATGATTTTGATCAGTCAAAATAAATACAACTAACTAATTCTGTTGGAGAAATTAATGTTTTATTAATTTTCTGCTATATTTTGTGGGGATTATCTGTATTGTTGAGTTTTATTTTTTTATTACATTTTCTTTCTTTATGATTTATTAATCATCATTCAGGTTAATTATTTCTGCCGTGGCTACGTGCTCTGTAGTGTGTGGTTTTAAAAAATAAATAAAATTGTGAGTATGAATTTGCATGATGACATTGTGGTCTGAGAGATAGAGGCAAGTTCCAACCTTGATATTTTTTTTTAACCTGGTGATGGTTGCTGTGGCTTTTCACACCTTTTTTGCAACCAGCTACTGCACCGACACAGTCAAACCAGCACGTACTTAAAGGTCTGTTTGTTCCACTGAATCTCTCCACATTGCAGCAGCCTGGGTTTCTTTTCTTCTCTGCTTTCACGTTCAACATGTGTTCATAGCATGGCTTCCAGGTGCAATTTTAACACTTGATTGTTGTTAATTTGTTCTTCCAAACTACATTTTTTTTTTTTTAGTTTTGATTTCAGTTTCCACACTAAATTATTCTGGCAATGATGACTGAATCTGATATCCAAAAAGAAGTGCATTTATTTTGGTCAGTTTAGCAACATATTGCTTTATTCTTTCTCAATGTATTTTTAATGTTCCCTTACATTAGTCCAAAATTCACAGCACCAGTAAAATACAACCTAACATATGCATAGTAAAATTGATTTGTATTATAATATGAGCCTCCCCTATTATAAATGACACAATTAAAATAAAAAGTAGCTGCTTTGGGACTACTACTACTGTATATTAACGAGATTACAGACAGAGGAGACATAGTTATACGATAAATCTTTAATATGCAACTGAAGCAGTTATACTCTATGATGAAACATTAAACTTATAAAAAAATGGTGAAAAATATGTTTGATCCATTTACTTCATTCAGCCAAAACAGAGCAAAGAGGTGTTCTCGAAATGCTTTTTGAACAATATTCATCAAAGTATCCATCCCAAAAAAACAGCTGCCTCAGTCACTGATCTGTAAAAGAACAGACAGAATAAGACATCAAATCCATATGTAGTAGAAATTGAGTTTATCTCCCCATCTTCCCACAAAGTTAAAAAATTACAAATATTTCAACTCCTCAAATACAAAGCTGTACTGAGGAGTAGATTGTTATACTCAAAGTTCAAAAACGACAATCCTCTAATTTTTGATAATGACATATTTAGTGACTCTGATCATGAAAATACCTTTGACATCAACAGTGATAAAATGGCCCATGGCTGTCTCTCCACTTGCTGTACACATAGCTTTGCACTGAAAGGTACCGGTGTCCTTTGGTGTCACGTTGAGGATCTCTGTCACAACCAGTCTGCGTCTTTTCCCTTCAGAGATTGTCTCACTCACTGTTGTGAAGTACTTTTTGGGGTTAATTAGCTCAACACTTCCACTGGTGACATCATGCCACACAACATGCACCACACCACACGATTCGAAGTTATAATGTGCCTCACAAGTTAGTGTGACTGATGAGCCTATAGACGGAGTGAATCTCTTCTGTAGGTAGCGGACTTCCAAATTATCTAGAACATAAAAAAACAGTGTTAATATCTCACTTCATGAAAATAAATTGAATTCCCAAATCATTTTTGAGTCACTTCAAGTCAGTGCTACTGGTGTGTGTTAAAATATCATCTGCCCAATGGGAGCTGTTCAAAGAGATGGTAAACTGGGTGTGATGGGTCTTTTATGATGTTTGTTGCTTTCCAGAGACAGCAGGATGTTATGATATTGTTCGGAGCAGGTATGTGTGTTGTGTTCTCTACAGTTATATTAACTCTCTGAAGGGCCTTTTTGTGAGCCCCAGAGCTACTGCTTCTCATTATCAGGACATTATAGGTCAGGACACTCTCAAAAACGACACCACCCATGTTGTGGCAGGTTGAATTTCCTGACAGCTGTCTGGAAGTTTACTCACTGCTGTGCGCTTTGTCGATCAAACAGTGCGTGTTTTTTTTTCAACTGCTATCTGCAGTTTTAAGGATTACTAATCAAAATATTTTTGCTTATGTTTTTACAGCAAGAGTAAAAACCAGAAGTCTAGGTTTTCTTCATAACAAAATAACAGATCAGTAATTGTCAGATAAATTGTGGTTATATTTCATTCTTCCTTGAATTGCTTACTTTTTCTAACAGAAATAAATCAAGAAAAGTGAAACTGTATCTTTAAAAAGTGGGATCATTTCTGATATGTAGACATATTTTTTTTTCTGCTACCACTAAAAAGACTTATGAGGTCATGCAACTTTCACTGAGAAAATAGGGACTCAAAGCACGCTTCCTCTTCTAATAAACCACTCCTCTTACTGGAATGTTGTGTAAGCTGACTACCACACCCTTTTCCCTATCGGAGTTATATTCAAATGTATTATCAAGTGAAATGGCGTTGCAGCTAGACCGAGAAAAGCTCTGCTGTTCCATATGTTTGGATTTACTTAAGGAGCCAGTGACTATTCCCTGTGGGCACAGCTACTGCATGAATTGTATTGAAAGCCGCTGGACTGAAGAGGAACATAAAAGCTACAGCTGCCCTCACTGCAAACAGACCTTTGCACCAAAGCCAGACTTGGTGAAAAGTGCCATGTTTGCTGATTTGGTTGAAGCCTTGAAGAAAACAAGACTTCAGTTTGCTCCAGCTGATCACTGCTATGCCAAGCCTGGAGATGTAGCCTGTGATTTCTGCACTGACAAAAAGCTGAAAGCCCTCAAGTCGTGTTTGGTGTGCCGGATCTCCTACTGTGAGCTCCACCTTCAGCCTCACTACGAATCCTCTGCCTTTGAAAAGCACAAATTGGTTGAACCGCTAAAAAATCTACAGGAGAAATTTTGCTCTCATCATGATGAGGTGATGAAGATCTTTTGTCGCACTGACCAGCAGGCCATCTGTTTTTTGTGCTCCGTTGATGAACACAAAAATCACGACACAGTCTCAGCTAAAGCAGAAAGAAACGGTAAGCAGATGAAGCTTGGGGTGAGTCGGGAAAAAATCCGGATGAGAATTCAGAACAGAGAAAAAGATCTGAAAGTTCTTCAGGAGGAGATTGAGGCCATCAATTTCTCTGCAGATAAAATAGTGAACGACAGCAAAAAGATCTTCGCAGAACTAGTTTGTCTTGTTGAGAAAATGAGCTCTGCTTTAAATGAACAAATCAGATTCCGGCAGAAAGCTGAAGTTAATCGAGTTACAGAGTTAAAGGAGAAACTGGAGCA